TTGACAAAGCTTCAGAGTGTTTGATAGCCGTGGGAAGAAGGCTGGACCAAAATTGCTACTGCTTAAGGTTGTCTTAATTGCCGGTTGTAAGAGCAACTCCTAAATGACTTTACAGAGACGTGTTTTGGCTTTGTAGCTAATATTTCTCTCAATATTGGGCTGGTAATGTATGGCTCACAGGGAAACAAGTGTTTTGAGATGATTGCTCTCGTCTTCATTACTGATTGCTGGTATGCAGTGGGTTATGTGTCATCCCTAAATTATATGCAGCTGGAAGTCTTTGAAGGAACAAAGCCAGGCTTAGGGAAATACTAAAAAAACCCAAGGATTTGTTCTTCACTTTCTGAACAAACGTCTGCCATAAAACGAGCAGTAAACTGAAAATGCCCTCTTTTCCAGTCAAGTGTTGCATACAGAAAGATTTCTGGGTATTACCTATACGGGCAATTCAACTGTTTTTAATTAAAACGTGGCTTAAGCACTGTTACTACCTGCCACTGCTGTTTACTATGCTTTTTTAAATGCTGAGATAAAACAAGCATGTGAACGCCAATAAACTTTAATGAGGTCTGTTAGCGTATGTGTGGTCACTCTTGACTGAGTTCCATGCTTGGAATTGTGAATTCTTCATTAAAGTATTGCTCTGGTTGCCTGGTAGTATTAAAGGATAAGCTATTGTAAATCAGGTGCTGCAGTTAAGTGTTGACCTTGTAAATGCAGACATTGATAGCTCTTCAGATAAAGAAGGGGGAGCCGTGTTGCAGTTTCAGAAAGTACTTTTCGGTCCCCTTTTTTTTCTCTCGTTGCTTGCTTTAATTATATTTGTTACTCTTGTTTTATGTTAAAACTGGGGGCATTGTTACAAAATGGATGTGTTGCCAGTATTCTCTTCTGTAAAGCTAAAGTACAGCCCTGTCAGACTTAATTACCAAGTTTGGTGTTTTGTAACAGCTGTTGAGAGGCTTGAATAATCTCCTGTACACGATATTTGTTTAGAAAGTGGAGCTAGAAGACGTTAGGTCAACAGTGAAGAGAGATCAACTAGCCTGGTTAACTACATTTTAAAAACTGAAATTTGTTTTCTAAGAGGATTTTTTTTTTTTCCTGAAAACAGACCAGGAACTTTTAAATGAATTATTTTAAAATAAAGCACCAAGGAATCAGATATCTTTTTAAAGTCAGTAAGGTGAGATTTGGTTTAAAAAAAATGAAAGATAAGTGGTGGTGTTGGTTCTGATGTGTTCTAGGTTGTTAAACGTCAGTTCTTGTGTTACCCGGTTACCGAAGTCTGGAAAATTTACTTAAATCTGCGTAAACTACTTTGTTTCATTCCTGAAATGAGTGTGTAAGGTAACAGAGCTACGTCTTAAGTTCTTTATGCAAGCGATACAGTCTATTTTAGCTTTGGGAGACTTGTATATGTGCACAGTGGTACCACAGTTGATAGTGTAAATATAACAGAAAATCCATGAGTCGGGCATTTTTAAAGAAACAGATCATGCGCATCATTCTTTGGTTAGAAGTTTTTCTGCCTGCTGTGATACTGTGCTTTGTACATCACAACCTTGGATCTACTGAAAGAAGATGAAGGTTGCTGTGATGATGTATGGCACGAGCTGTACGAGCCTGAAAGGTACTGCACAGTAAATAACTGCAACTGATTTTCCCTGGCGACGGCTTTTGGCTGAAGTTGGCTTTTTTTCATTGCAGAATCCTACTCCTTTGGTTTGCTCCTCCCC